CGCCTCCTTCAACGTGCACATCTGTTCATTTAACAATTTCCCCACCGCAGCGGGTCTTGCTTCCTCCGCTTCAGGCTTTGCAGCCCTCGTATACGCACTCTCCAAACTCTACGCCCTCCCCCAAACCCCTGAAGAACTCAGTCTCATCGCCCGTCGAGGATCTGGTAGCGCATGTCGCTCCCTCTTCGGTGGCTTTGTCGCCTGGGACATGGGCAGTGACGACATAACTGGGCAAGATAGCAAAGCCCGTCAAGTCGCCCCAGAATCCCACTGGCCCGAGATGGAAGCCCTCATCTGCGTCGTCAATGACGCCAAGAAAGGCACCAGTAGCACCAGCGGCATGCAACGCACCGTCGTCACTTCCGCACTCCTCCAGCACCGCATTGGATACGTCGTTCCCTCGCGCATGGCAGACATCGAGAGTGCCATCGCAGGCAAGCGTTTTGGTGACTTTGCAGAGATCACCATGAGGGACTCAAACCAGTTCCATGCTGTCGCTCTTGACACTTACCCTCCCATTTTCTATATGAACGATGTTAGTCGCGCCATTATCGCCATCATCACCGAGTACAATCGGCTCTCGGATGAGCCCAAGGCTGCTTACACGTACGATGCAGGCCCAAATGCCGTTATCTATGCGCTCACGCCCAATGTCCGTGAGATAGCACAGCTTGTTCTGTACTACTTCCCCCAAGCAGAGAAGGTCGTCGTCGGAGGACAGGAAGTGAAGGCTACGTTACCAGAGGGATTCAATGAGGCTGTTGCTAAGCGGTGGGAGGTAGGCTCTGTTAAGGGACTTATTCACACCCGTGTCGGTGACGGCCCTCGGGTTTTGAGTGACAGTGAGGCGCTGTTGGACGCCCAGGGCATCCCTAAAACGCTTGCTTGAGCAAAAGTAGAACAGCTATAAACGACATTTTGTATCTTAGTAGAACAATCCGTGTTACAACAATAGATGTACCGCAAAACAAATCAGCTCATTACTTCTGCATCGCCCAAAATTTCGGATGAAGTTGTCTACTAAGCCCTGAGGCAACATATAGCAACCGACAACCTTGAGAAAAGACCATGTATTTGCATACATGCTGTAATATCTATTCGATGTCAATGACGTCACCTTTCATCCATCTTGCAACAAGTATCTTCTGAATTTGCACGGGGGACATGCACTCAAAAGGTTGCTGAATACTGATAGCGCCCACGGATGCTTGGTCGGTCTGAATGCTCAGGGTTATTTCAAAACTTGCTTTAACCATTATGAGTTGTCGAATTCGTCCAGGACCCTCATCTCGACGTTGAACATTCAACCCTTTCAAATAATCTTGACAACATGCCAAACGTATGTGGCCTCTAAATCAAACCTATCAGAAACGACCTACACGTCACAATAAAACACAACTTCAAAACACGAAAACAGAACAAAACGGTGTCAATCACGCTCATATCCCATCCTCTGCATCAACCATATCCAAAAGCGAACCTATAGGTTGTTTTCCGTCTTCCGCTATAAACTGCAATAAACTCTCGAACACCTCCGTACGCTGCCTGAACCGGTCAGGTGACAGCGGCTTCGTCGAAGCGTCCCGCAATGCAGTCTCTACGGGATCTTCTTCCATCAAAAGTACCGCGTGCCGCCGCTTCTGTCCACTAGAGGTAACAGCGGATGACGTACTCGCATCAAGCGTCTCATCTTCGTCATCCAGTCGGCTCGTCCAGGCTTCGTCAGGTGTGTTCGGACGCGAGCGTTTTTTCGGTGGCTCTTCGAGGAGATTTATAGTGGTTTCTTTAGGTGTACCTGCAGACTCGGCGGAGCCATCATCCGTGGCAATTGGAGTCGAGAATAGATGCCCCAGGAGTGCCCTGAAGACACTCGTCTCCTCCGGGTTTGTGTGATCCACCATCGCAGACACTTGCGTTTGTAGAAAGCGTAGCGCTTTGACTGCAGGTTGTTCTTCGCACATCTCTCGAAATCTATACACAATTAACATAAGCATATGCTGCATAACCCTTTCAAGAGCTCATAACGTACTGCTGTTGTCGGATCTGGTATTTTGCTCGCCTAATAATTTCATCAGGTGCGGCTCTGAAGAGCAAGCACATCCGCCATTAATACCAATAGAAGAGTGAAGTACAGCAACGCTTCTCACCTCAATAGCTTCATAGTCCAAAAATCATCCAGCCTCATTTCTTTCGATACCCTGTTCGGACGCTCGTCATCCCCACTCCCCTCTACCTCCGTTTCCACATCTTCTACGGGCTCATTCACCTCCCCTGCATTTCCACCATGCATAAACACACGTTTCGTCCCCTCATCATACACTACTTGATGCGCATATCGCGGAAGAGGAACTTCGGCAGGCTCCCCGCCCTCCTGTATCACTTCGGGCAATATGTTTGTCCACTTCCCGGGCTTGGAAGGGTGCGCGTACTGATACACCCAGTTTGGCGTGTCGGCGCGTAAGCTAGTAAGCGCACAAGCGGGCTGTGCGCGAGTCAGCCCACAGAATCTAGACGAATCACTTGGTTTTGAGCAGTTACGTATAAATGGGATGGATTGCATACACATAAATCTCCTTCAACCGTCCGTCGATAATCGCCCGCTGAGTGAAACATGCATTGGGACCCCCACTTGTGCTGAAATTGCTGAACAATTCTGTCACCGTGTTGCTCGCAATGTCGTAGGCGTACATGTCGGACAAATACTTGTCATCACGCTGCCCCGCGAAAATGAAAAGATTGTGCGATATTGGGTCCAGAACCATTGAATGACCTATCGTTCTTCAGTATGTTGGACATCATGACATGAGACAGACTGACCAAAGCGGGGCGAGATGGGTGGCTGTACAGACGAAGACATTGACAGTGCAGGTTGGGGCCTACAGACACAATAAGAACGACAATAAACGGCCAATGACAACAATACTCGCTGTAGGAGTTTCCATTTGCTCGTGCGGACGTTATAACTATACATGCCAGAGTACTTCGGCGAATCCCATTCGCCATCGACAACTCGGCCACCGGAAACATACAATATTTGTGCCTCACAGTCCATCACCATTTGGTGGTCGAAGATGAGTGGTGGCCCACCGGAGGACTAGCATCATTGGTTTTAAAAAATGCAATGTCCGCTCTACCACTCACCGCCGTATCAAATGATAATAAATCCCATTTTCCAGCATCCAATCCTCGCGTATGATACCGGTAAAACTCCGAGCAGTATGGAGTAGACCTAGACCCATCCGGTATCTCGCCTGCTCTTCTTAATAGTTCTTGATGGTCCTCGGGCTTCAAGTCCCCATCGCCAAGTCGACCCAGAAGATAGATGCACCCCGACTTCGTATCATAAACCATCTTGTGACAAGACCTAGCAATAGGCCCGTTCTTCTCGACAGACGTGCTATGACTTATCACGTGCCATCGTTCAGCATTCACGTCGTAAGACCAGAAATCGTCTAGGCTTTTCTGTCCATCCCAGCCTCCAAAAAGGTAGATGAGGCCATTGTCAGGGTTGAGTGCCATTGCATGACCACCGCGTTTGCTCGGCGCGTCGCCGTCCGCGTTCATACCGTGAAGACGTTTCCACTGCGAGTGTGGTTGACAAAATTGGATATAAGCATCTAGAAGCCCAGCTGAAGATGCTTCAGACAGAAGTGCTTCTGAATCAGTCCAAGCCCCTTGGAGAACAAGGCTCGAATACAACGCTGTCACGACAGGGTGCTCGACCTGGATGTTCGAGCGCGCCAGGATGTTTTGATATGGTGTTAGCAACCTCCGCTGCCTCAGATGCTTAAGCACGTGGCGAAGCACTACGGTTTCTCGGTACTATGATTGTTTATTCAGTGAATATACGTGTGATAGAATTGACGTATCAAACCTCCTCGTACCGCGAGCGGATATTGTCAACGTATAGAGAATCGGCTATGCCTGAAACAGAGACATACCAGATCGAAATGTTAAAGCTCATCCCGTGGGCTCTAACCGATGCACCGATTTAGCAAACAAACAACTGCAACATGCCCACTCACGAAACTGGTACAATTTTGATGTACCGTGTCGGGAAGCAAATGCCCTCGCCATTCACATGTTTCAAAGGGAACGTTTCGGACACGGTGTCGTCCTTGAGCTGTGTGTATAGCGCCTGCACCATATGGTGCGGATTCAGGCCTACATAGACCCTGAACTCCCTCATGTTGCAAGGATGTTCTGTTGAATCTGTTCAGAGCCTGAATTTTGGAGGAGTGAGCTCACATACTCCTGTTAAACTTCATCCACCAGACTTAGTTTTCACATTGATGACAAGGGTTGGTCGGCATCACCTTTCCAAATGTTATGCTCTCTTCATGTCATTAAGAGCGGGGTATGTCAGCGCGTGCGAGATCATGAAGCGCAGCAGTTACTCAACTGACAACACCGAGTGTTTCTAACTTCAGCAGAATCCATTGCTTCGCTGTAGGTAATTGTTGCGCGCCGCTCCATCTACTTGAAGGGTCCTGTGGTGAGTCAACCAGTATGTTTTCCGGAACGTAGTTCCCGCTGTGCTCCGAGCATCCGGCGATGGTATACGTCATGGTCTGCGCAGGAGGCATAGTTGGTTGGCTTGAGGTCGCCCAGGTGGCAGACATTTTTAACGGTTTAATCTTCGGTAAAAGTGGCTAGCTGAGGATAAGATAACGAGTGCCACTGACTCGAAAGGTTTGAAAGACCGTCACGGTTCCGCACCTTGAGAAAGGTTGAGAACCGGATGTGGGCAAAACGGTTGTCAACAGATGTGTAACTCATGACGCGGACGCGTGACGACTGCTGCGATGTTCACATGACCAACGAGAAACCCCCTCAAATCAATTATCTATGAATAAAACACCTAAAAATCAATGCTCCAGCCGTTAGTACGTACAAGGTACTGTATGTACTTATAAGCCCAAGATATACAGTATTGTGATCAGTAAGATGAAGCAAGGTAGCATAATCAACCTTCCGCGTTAAATTGCTCTATGGACAACTTAGGACTTCTGCTCGTCAACAGTCTGCATAACCCAGGCCTCGGAGGCGACAAACTGCTGGGTAGGGACACCTAACTCGAGGAGCTTGGCGAAAGCGGCAGAAAAACTAAAACTGTGTTAGCGTATGGATGTACTGATTATCAAGTGACGCACTCCTTGAAGAAAAGGTCAATATCATCAGCGTAGGCCTTTGCGTACTTCTTGAAACTCTTGTCCTGTGTAAGAACATAATCCGTTCTGAAAGGCATTTAGTCGATGTTGACGATGTGCACTTAAAGCAACATACGGGAGCATCATAAGCGATTTGGTCTTCTTGTCCTCGAGCTGTTTAGGTCCGTTCCACTTTTTCCATACCCACCTATTTCAACAATATGTCAGTACTTCTTCCTTTGAGAGAGAGCTATATCCTTACTTCTCATCAAACAAGAGTTTGTAGAAGTCATTAGTGAACGTGGTAGGAGAGAAGGTCCAAGGTCCATCATAACCAGAGCTGGATAGAACTAAATCAGCAACAGAAAAGAAAATACAGTGAAGGCTATACCGGTCGGGGTGGCAACGACCGAGAGCATGGGCACCGCAGAGAGCAACAATTTCTTGGTCGTCGAAGCTGCATGCATGGCGTCAATCTGCCGAGTATTCTGTCATATAAATGCAGGCTCACCCCATACGGTAGAAAATCTGGCTTGGATGTTAGCTCGTATTTGATTGTAAATTAAAATTACATACATCCCGGATATGTGGCGCCCCTTGGGAGGCGTCAGGGAGACGGCCATCAGGAGGTACGTGGGATTCAAAACCATCAATGCGACCAGGTCTCCAAGGAACCTTCGGGCCAGCCATCTCCTGCACCGCAGCAACACCAGCAAGCGTCCACAAGTCGCCGTAGCTGATCCAGCTAAATTCTTGTTTAATCTTCTCCAGCACTTCACGGGCGACGTGAAGACCCGCGTTTGCTCCATGAAGTGACTCGGGCTGGAAACGCATGGTCGCGTAGTTGCTATGTTTCGTTGTACCATTACGTTAATGATAAGGTGGCTTCTAATCGGCATACAGGAAAAACCGACCTTCCGCCAGTGCCAGTAGCCTTGTCGTATGTACCGGAGGCATGCCACGCCAGACGGACAACCACAGGGCCGAAAGAGCCATCTATGAAAACAATGAGAGCAAGAACAGAACCAAGCGCTTAAATACTGTACTATCGTAGTCATCAGCATCGTCGATCACCTCGGCGATGCGGTTGTACACCTGGAAGAAAATAGATGAGCTCCAGGTAGCTACACAGAAAAGTTGAAACGAACTTTCTGGTAGTCTGCCTTAGTCGGAACAAAGTTTGTAGCAACCTTTGCTGACTGAGCCGCAGACTTGACTGCGGTAGAAGTCGCTTTTGCCGTCTCCGAAGATGAGTCATACAAGTAGTATGCAACACCACCACCTAGAATGACCGCGCCCAGACCGACATAGAGACCAGTGTTGGACTTGGCTGCTGGAGGGACTTCCGTTGAATACTTGCGGAAGGAAGACGTGCGGAACTGGGCCCTCTTGAAGGATGCAGACAAAGCCTGCCTACGAAGTGGTGCACGAATCGCGGCAAAAGACATGATGGGGGGATAAAGCGAAAAAATGGATGAAGGCGAGAAGACGCACTAAATATCAACACAATCACGCGTTGGTCGCCTGCCTGTAGAAATATTAGCAATATATTCTCTGTAAGGGGTTTACATAATCCTTTATCAATTGCCTGCCAGCCAATCGTGCTCTGCCATTTAGACAACACGACGAGCCCCATTAGGTTATGATGGTGAGGGGACTCCGATACTTCTGGCCAATGAAAGCTTAACCGTTGGGCCCCTTTGACGTTTGCGACAGACGAGCACTATATTAACGAGCTTCTTCAACTCATTCACACGCCTCGGTACGCGCAGTGGGCAAGCTTTAAGGTCAAATCTATAAGTAGCTCATCTTCACAGGCCTTCCTTCAACTTGTCATCCAGTTCACCCTCCACTCGGCTCCGCACAGTTCTCGCGCAAAAACTTCATTTTTGTCAGTCTTACACGAACATGAACTTTGCCAGCCTTAGAGAGGGCGCCCAGCCTTATCAACGGGTACCTTTATTTGTTATACGAGCGTGTATAAATTGCACAGCTGCCGCGCGGCGCGGAGTCCTTGGGAAATCTAAGGCAAGTTCCTGAGGTTGACGAAGTCGAAGATTCTCGAACGGGTTTCACTTCAATCCAGCATTATAACTGAGTTCCGAACATCCGTCGACAACGCGTCCAAATGAGTCAGCTTCTCTTGCATCGCCACCAGATTCTGAGCGCCTTCGCCCTCAATTCCGAATGATTCACCTACGGGCGGTGTCGCGGTACAGTCTGTCGCTCAAGACTTGAAGCCAAGCGTCTTACCCCTTGCAGTGCTTTAAATTTGGCGCTTTTCCTTAAAATTCCGGTACATCACATGATTCAGAAAACCTATAGGCACTGCCTTCGCTAACTTGGCTCAGCCTAGCGGCCCTAGCTTAGCCTCTTTGATTTGCTTCCCCTGATCTGAGCGATTACGGCGCAGCCACAGTCATTGACATCATGCGACACTTTGTCAAGGTGCTATAGAAGACTTACGGTAACCTACACTTTCGGATGTTGTCGGCTATGGTCTGTCAGATTGACGCCCTTACGGACCTATAAAATCCCAGCATTCATTTTGATCACATACCACACGTTCCAACATGAATCCCTACACAAACGGTTGGCCTACCAACTGGTATCAAGCACAATATAACCCTCATGTATACGTCCCCCCCTCCTACCAATATCCAGCGGGATGGTACGGATATAACTGTATGTGCCCTTCAATCTCCATTACTCACCTATATGATCTCACCATATTCTCTGCGCACCCATAGCCGAACATGCACCACCAAAATCTAAATGGCCCAGCCTCAACCCCACTCTTGCATCAGACACGACCTACGTGCGCTATGATATCCGCAAGCCCGCTCGGGAAGGGATCATGCTATCTACATGGAACCAAATTAGCCACGTTCCAGCATTCGTGGCGCCTACGTACGAGGTCCTTATCATATCGAAGGCATTCCCTTGGTCAATCGTTATCCGCGCGCCTGCTGGGTCTGTAGTCACATGCGGCGCGGTCTTTGACGGATTGCATGAAATGCTACAGAAGCATATCGAAGACTCGGAGTGGGCAATCGTGGCCCTTGATAAGACACGGAGAGAAGCAATCGAGAAAGCTGCAAAGTCGAGGCAAGAGAAGGACAAGGATAAACAACTGAAGAGAATTGATTGGCTGGGGGACACACCAATGTTCAAGGGGCTAGAGAAGGACGAGGAATTTGCGAAAAAGAGACATTTACCCGGAAGTGCGACTGTCGCAGAGACGTGGGTGGTGAGATTTGTGAAACAGTGATGGTAACATTTATGATGTATCATCATGGGAGTTTCGTCATACTTTTCCTTGGTTTTCTTCTCGGACCCCGTGTAACAACACAATCTTATGTTTACACTTCTGCGTTATGCCTTACGGCTCTCCGTCACTTATTATTAGTCTCGTCTGTTGCGCGTCTAGGGAAGTCATCCAAATATGACTCTAGTGAATATCATCGACAGTGCAACCTGATGTGTATACGCGATGCTCCACTTTAATGATGCAACGCTACAGCATATCACCAGAAATTAACACATATCATACGTACAATCTATACCTATCCCGTTCTGTTTCTTCATACTACTAGTACATACATAGTACTGGTGGAAATGATAGATGTTGATCATGATCATGATATGGATGAGATTATCATGATATAATTTATGTAAAGTCAAGCTCAATTGGTCGCGATCCGAACTCTAGGGTTAGGGTTATATGTCACCTACCGTCTTTTTTTGTTTCTTCACTCCAGAGTCCAGACGCCTAGCATAAGGTTGCCTAGGTCTACGCGAGCACAAAAGGAAGTCGGTTAGTCTAGCACCACCACAAGAGACCTTCATCTCAATGGTATCATTCCAGTACGCTATCCTTTCCCTTTTTCACAATTTCATATGTATGATCTTAACGCACGATCAACAGATGTCACAGTTCGTATCTGCTATCATCAATTTCTTGAACGACACTAACTAACCCATAACCACACAGGCTGCAGTGACGTCGTGAAAAAACCGAAACTCAACCAACATCACAGTTTCTGCCATGCAGCCTTCGACTGTATCGACTGCTCGACCACCTTCCACACCCCCGCTGAGTACCAGGGACATATTTCGTGCGTAACTGAAGCAGAGAAATATCAGAAGACGATGTACAAAGGTCCTCGATCGGTGAGTTGTCCATCCTTACATTCTTAATAGTTTTTTCATGTGAGCAGGCGGGGACTTGGGGGGCAGCACCTCGAGAGAATGGGCGCGGTAGGTTCAAGGCAATGGGGGATACCAGCCGAGACCACCAACGCGTTACCAGGCCACTGGTGCCAACGGAACTCCGTTGGGCACACCTCAACGCATGTCGCCTATAACTGTAACACCACCAGAGCCGTCAGTCATACCACCAAAACCAATAGAGGCTCAGCCTTCAAAGGACTCAGCCCCAGCGCCGGAAACGACTGAGATTAAACCACAGAAAAAGTCAAAGTCTGAATTAAAAGCCAAGGACAAAAAGGTGAGTACGCGTAATTCGTTATCTACAGTGCGGTATCTAACTCGTACAAGACATCAGAAGATACCATCGTTGTCGAATCGTTATCTGCGCCTTCGTCTCCGTCACCTCCAAAGGCGGAGAAGAAGAAAAAGGACAAGAAACCTAAAAAGTCCACTGAGGACGCTGTAGAGTCTACTGTCGACGATACCCCGACATCAACCGAGATTCCAGGAGAAAAGGAAAAGAAATCCAAGAAAAAGGACAAGGAAAAGCGGAAAGCTGTTGTTGTGGAGGGCGAGAATTTGGAGAGCCAAGAGATCAATGACAAAGATAGCGACGAGAGCCAGTCAAAATCACAAAAGCGGAAGAGGGACGACGAGTCCGAAGAGACGGGCACAGGTAAGAAAGATAAGAAGGAAAAGAAAAAGAAGAGCAAGAAGGACAAGGTCGAAGAGACACCAACGAATAGCATGTCGGATCCATCGTCTAAGCCAGTCGAGACTGAGGGAGAGACAAAAACGAAGAAGCGGAAAAGAGACAAGTCAGAAAATGTTCCGGAGGACGGCATGGACGTCGACGTGACACCTACAGACGCTCCGTCTGTTGCGCCTGTGGAAAAGAAGAAGAAGAAAAAGAAGCACGACGCGGAACTAGATGCTAATGTCAAGGTGTCGGCAACGGATGTCGATGCTCCCCCACCGGCTCACGATGAGAGCAGAGAGAAGAAGGAAGGATAAGAAAGAGAAGAAGGAGAAGAAGGAGAGGAGCTCCAAAAAATCCGACAAGGCTTCAGCATAATTGGCTGCTTCGTTGAGTATCTACGAGATTTAGTTTGGGTTTGGTGACGAGTTGCTTTTATGCGGGGCCATACTATCCATTAGAGGGATGTTGACAATATACCTGGCACGCGAAATGTGGTTACAGCCTTATGAGGTGTCAGAAGTCACAGTTGTGTCATTAACCCCTCGTGATCACTTGTTTCCGGATTAGGTGCTTTCGATTGTAGTAAGTACTGATTGTGGCAAGGGTTCGTCCTTTGCTCTCCCTCTCATCTCCCAGTACTCTTCAGACGAAGCATACCACAATTTACTATGCATGCTATTCAGGTTCGTATGAAAACAGCATTATGCCTGGAGATGGCTCAAGATCCTTTCTAGCAACAATATTGGGCCGTTCGCGACTATCTCAGTCCAGTGCGTGCCATCGCAGTTGACTATCACTAAGTCTAAGTAATACCCAGGTCCTCAAAGAAAGCAAGTTCAAAGAGCACGGACGTATAACCCCCGGTACGTATTTTATCACCAACCACCAACCACAAGCATCTCAATCTTGCTTTAAGAGGAATTTGTTGCAGCAGGAGACTTCCTATCATACAAGTTCCCAGTATGGACGTGGTACGTGCAAGCAATTTCTCAACCTCAATACATCCCCTCAAACCAGATCCCCATACTTCAGGGAAAAAGGCGACGCGTCCAAAGCCCGCGATTATCTCCCCGTTGAGAAACAATACCTCGTCACTCGTGGCGTCCCCTGCCTTCGACGAGCCACATCACTGGCTTACACAGACGCTGATGAAGACGCTGAGCGACTTCTCTCCTTTGGGGATTCTTCGGGTGCTGCCGATGATTGGGTAGAAACGCATGCAGGGCGAGGGGCCACAGTGGACTCTGCCGCGAACGTAGGCGAGATCGATGATATCCCGGACTTGGATGGTGATGGACTGGCAAGCGCGATGGCGGATGTGTCGATTGCATCGGAGACGGGCGCTACGGTGGGAGAGACACCGGATCTAGATGATATCCCTGACATGGAAGAGGAGGGGCTGGAGGATGGTGAAGATGAAGCTACGATGGCACCGGTTGTGCCCAAGGCAGGCGGCGTCATCGATGCATCGTGAGTTTTCCAACCTGATCTTTGTCTAAGCCCGATCCTAGACGAGATGCTCAGGCAGGTGGGGGTCGCAAATGGCAATCTCTTGCAAGTACGAACGTATGACGTGATGATCACATACGACAAGTATTATCAAACTCCCCGGATCTGGCTACTCGGCTATGACGAAGTTTGTCGCCATCGCTTCATAATAATGTTCTCCCGCTCATTCATATTTTGTGATTTAGAATCGCACCCCTCTAACACCATCGCAGATCTTCCAAGATATCTCAGCAGATCATGCTCTCAAGACTGTCACCATCGAAGCCTTCCCACACTCTTCGACGCTCCAAGCAGCCTCTGTACATCCGTGCAAACACGCAAGCGTGATGAAGAAAGTCATCGAGCGCATGAACGCAGGTGTGGTAGAAGAACAGCTTGCTGCACGGAAGAATTCCGGCAAGCATCAAGACAAGGACGGGAAGAAGAAATGGGGTTTCGGGCGCAAGGGGACAAAAGAGGAGGGAGTAAAGTCCGGGGGAGAGGAAGAGGAAGTGGAGGGCATGCGTGTAGACTTTTACCTTGTGGTGTTCTTGAAGTTCATCGCTTCTATCGTGCCTACGATCGAGGTGGACTCGACGACTGCGTTTTGAGGATGTTTTCATGGAGGATATATCCGCTGGATTTTTGGTGCAGTTAACAGTAAGTAATAGTTGTGCTATGACGGGTGTGTATGTACTATAGAAATTATGTAGATTTTGATGTACGCTCGTAGTTACTCAGGGCACATGATTCACCCGATTCTGTGCCTCTGGGTGAGAACGCCGCCAGTCGATCGCACCGTGCCTGCCGCGGCCGGCATCGAGACCCGTGATGCCAACAACCTTTCCCAGGCACCAGCTATCGGCGTACACAGACTCGTACAATGAACTACCTTGTAGTACGTTGCAAAATTCTGTATGGTTTCTATTGACTCTAATGGTGGTCCGACTAGTACACTTGGAGTCCAGTAGACATTCAATTGATTTTCTGCAGATTTATGCATGAATGCATAAAGCTTTATGTCAAACCCGGGCCCCGTCCGTGTCGTGTCTGCCCCATGTCCATGCCTGTGTCAAGCTTCATCCATGCTACGTCACGACCGTGTCAATGATTTCAGCATCCCGGTCGTTTGCATGGTCTTGCGCTCAATTGAGTTGTCATTCTGATGCATGTCTTGTATCTGAAAATCTATCGCAATACTCTAACCTTTTACCGTGCAATCCGAGTCTGATCTGACTCATATATATGCGCATCCGTTCGACTTGTTTTGTTGTGCCGCTGCGACTTGCACCGATGATCTAATTTATAAATTCAGAATTCTTTCATCATTCTCGGCGGCCTCGATCAATACCAACACATCAGAGAGGAAGGTGCGGAAGTAGTTATTGTACAAGATGCAATCTAATCATATAAATGTGAAGGTGTACAGACGAGCTCACATATTTGAAGCACATAAAACATATTACATGGTTCTGGATTCACGAGGGAGTAAGATACGTCAATATTCCAATATCTATGATTAGACCTGAAGCGCCTCATAACTTGTTTATTTTTAAGCCACAAGACCGCAACAGTAGGGAGCTTGGGAGTGCCACCGTCACGGACCTACAGCAGTTTATAATAGCAAGGACTAATATTTGGAGATGATCCGAATGAATAAGCGGGCCTTGACGCGGCACGACCACGACAAAATAGCTACGCGGCTTGCGCGTGCACAACAAATCTGGGTGACGTGATCTAAACGCTGGCCATGGTTTCGTTGGTTCTAACTCGACTCCAAATGGCGGTCTGAGTGAACATGAACTGACCCCCTCAGTCACGTCATCGACGAGGAACATAACATATATAGACCTTCCAAAGTTTGATGCACTTCTTTAATCTCAGAGGCCCAGAACACTCCCGGGACCGGCTGTGCGATAACGGGGATCATTTAAAAGAAGTTGCACCGACATCTCGTTTCAAATGGGTTGTTGATTGTATGCCGGGAGCAGCATTTGATAGTCCACCCATACCACATACCACACTCTCAGTCTGAAGGTGACATGTTGCACCCACACTAGCACTTCAAAGCCGCTCGTGAAACAAAATTACCAGGGCTTGAATATAAATACGAGATATCGGCAAATTTGAACACCACACACCTCCGTCCTTGCTCACTCAGTCTCGGTGAGCACAATCGAGCGCCAATTGAACTGCAACTTACCGAGTCCCATAGCCATACTGTGAAATGCCTGCCCCAGTCACATACTATAACGTCGAAGTCGTCCAATTTTGGCGAGGGCAAAAAGAACCCCTACAACCCTATCCCCTTCACTGGGCGATCTATATCCCAATCAGTCCTGGTATCGGAAACACATACCACTTACTAGGAAACACGGACACCTACACCATAGATTTCAGACGCAATCAACCGTACCCAAACCCAGATACATGGCGTGGAAGCTTCGCCGTCGGAAGAGTAGCTGCGCATCAGCTAGCCCTAATGGAGCGACACCTCGCAAGCATTCCTATCACACGTCACGACCCCAGATGGACCTGCCAAAGCTGGGTGTGGGAGGGTCTCAGGCATCTTCGACACAAAGGTTTTAATATTAGCTGGGAAATTAGGCTTTCAGATCTTCAAACGCAGATGTACTGCTTGCTCGAGGATTGGGAATACGGCCGAATTTAGAGGGGGCAGAGTGCGAGGGGTTTGCGACTAGGTGATCAAAGATTCGATGTTGTTGCTCAGAGTCACTGGGAACACTCACCATAAAAGTTAATATATCAGCACCGGCATTCTGAATGTGTATTAACATTGGCATCATAGACATCCTGAGCTATCATCGCGAGTAACCTTCGTTGTTTTGATCAATACAGAAAGCATCCCTCACCTATCAAGTTCTGTCGCGCTGACAGACCGAAGCGAAATCTTGTGTGCTATGGTTGTCATACCATGAAACATGCTATGACTTTCAAATTTTCAATCCCTCGCATTAGGAAAGTGACTACGTGGTGCACTTTACAGAAGGGAACACTGTCTGCCTTCTTTTGGTTTGTATTTGAGAGACTTGAAACTGAACCCTGCCAATCGTCAGATGCCGACAGTTGATCCAAGAAATAGCGACTGCACAGGAATGAAACACGGGATTTCTGAGTAGGACTGCAATCCAAACAACACCACACATCTGATACTATGCTGTACCATGCTGTAGACAATTAGGTGACGTTACTGTACATAAAAAAAGACAACAAGAAGTTGATCCAAATTATGGCAAGCAGCCACTAGATTTCCACTGCCGATCTGGGTGCTTATATCGGGCGCATTCAAAATATGTACGCAAAATGACAACCAGCCTCGAACAATTTTTGCCCCTCACTGTTGTACCACCTCCCGCCATATTACCTTGCCCTTGCCATCGTCACCATCTACCTTTTCCTCAGACCACATTTTCGCATCCCCCACAGCAATCCGCATCCCTGCCCAACATGCATCCACAAGCCCCGCACCACCCGCCATACCCATAACAAGACTTGCAGCATAGTAAAAATTCGCGTTCCCACGGCCCTCGCTCACCCAGAGTACATGTTGAAGTGGGAGGAGGAGCGCAGCGTGTAAGTGGAGGAGTGTAGTGACGATGGGGTGTCGAAGGTCTGGAAGAGTGCGAGTGAAGTGAGTACAAGATGGCGTAGGGGCTACAGGAGGGAAAGGGACTTACAACCATGTACTTCAGGGAAGATGGCTATCATGCTTAGGAACAACCCTGGGTCTGCGAGAGTTAAGTACGCCTTGAACGTTCCCAGGACGCCTACAAGAAGGAACGCGGCGTAGAGAGGATCGTGTCTATAGATGAGGCATATCAGAACCTGCAAAAACCAGCACGTATATATTATGAAGAATATCTTACTGGAATTTTATGCAGATGGGTAATATGTATATGACAAGATGAACCTAGTTATATAATTAGATGACATATGTGCACGAAGAAAATGAGAACGCACGGAAAAGACCATGAGGAAGAATGGTCTGAAATGATCAAACATCTCAGTGAAGAAGTACCACCAAAGACCGGGGTTAGGCGTGAGGTCTGGTAGCGTGAGGCTGAGATGTGTGTGTTTATGAACCATCTGTCAGAGATTAAAATCGACTTACCTTGCGCCCCATGATGCCCTGACCCAATTCCAGCTTCCGCCCGTAATAATGCATGCTGCGCCTACAAGGACGAGCCAGTATATTGTGAACTCACCAAAGAGGAACGGTATACGCTTGAGGTTACCATGAAACGGACGTGGGGAAGCGAGGCGAGACACGGGAGAGGAGACGAGTACCATGAGAATTGGGAGAAGTAGAAGAATAGAGGAGGGGGTGAGGTGAACTGCGAACGCGATAGCGAGGAGGGCATAAGATACTTTGCCTGGAATTGCAAAATGCGTGTGAGCCAACTTGGGAGGAGGCGTTGAGACGTACCTTGAGATGCAAACATGAGAGCAAGGAGAGTAAGCGTATTTTCGAATGTAGATGTTGATAGCGCAAGTGATGGAAGGAGAAGGTAAGGATTCAGCAAGTAGCTGTGCGGTGCGTTAGGTGCGTACTCGAAATATGCTGATAGATCGTACACGCTTGTGATAAGGTTTTCTACGTTGGACCTCGCAACCTCTTGCGATGGTAGACCCTGGCGTGCGCGCCATATGTGGAGAAGTGCCCACGCTCCTATTGCATCGGATACAGCCCATATAATTGGGAGTGGAGGTACTATGGTTGAAAATAAGGACAGTAGGAGAGGCGACTATGGCACGAATGGTCAGCCCGTGACACCTGGTCCACAGGAATGACATACATGATGAAAGGATCCTCCTATGTATGGGTCGATATCATTATCGAGAAGCCAGAGACCTTCTTGCACTGGTATTGACATGAATTAGCAATAGAATCACTTGGCTAGCCTTGACACATACAACGAAGGTAGGAGGTCAATGGAGAGCTAAGTTGATGGTCGTGTTTGAGGAGATTTTGACCTGGAAGAGGTAGAACTGCTGAGCAGAAAGCGAAGACATACCAGAGCTGAAAACGCCGGTGGTGCGTTCATCGCGTTTTGGTCACTTGTGGCAGGAGAATTCTGCCGCTGAGTATATAAGGAAAGTATCGCTTCTGGTGGCAGTGTGGCAGTGTTCTCACTGATTGGCCAGTACTAGTAGTAGGACCTACATTCGCGGGGTTGTGCAGGCAGGTCGTTTTCACATTAATATTATTGTTAGAAACGAGGGTAACTTCTCTCTCTCTCACTGTACAGCAAGCGGGGCCAACTTTGGTTCGATTGGATATTTGCACCCAGAATCTGTACTCAAAAGTAAAGTGGGGCAAGGCTTTGCCATCCTATTATCCGATGGTATAAAATCCCTTCCTCACCGCAATGCTTCTGCCAGCTCCCCAAGTCATCGTACACCAACACCACATCCCCCATGTGTTACTTAGCTCGTCGTCCATGGGATACCCCTGATCCCAATACCTCCCCTCCCGCTTTGCACAATGCTCGCTACAACGGGTGGCCCAGCCCTCCAATACAGCTTCCCCATGTCGCTTTGCCTTCGTTAAAGAAGCCTGCTGAACGGCGCGTCGCATTCGCAATCGACACCCCGTCAACCCGTCGTCCCCGTGACGGTAAAGTCACTCATATCCGTAAGCAGCTGTGCATCCTCTACATGTGGCTCTCTGTCTCAACCGTTGTCAGAACCTCAATCGGTTCAGCTTCAATATGGTACTCACCCACACAGAAATCATGGAGCGCAAGGTATTTTCCCCCCGATTTGTTCTACCCTAAGCCCATTTTTTCTGTAGGTATAATGTGGCCTGTCGAATGCCGACACCATGACGTTTCTAACTCGTGCATGTGGAATGGTAGGTTTCTGTCCTTGAATCCGGTTACCATGCAATCTGACTCGATGATGAAGGTGGTACTCACCAGAGACCATCTCCCCAAGGTGTTTTTGAGACGCGTACCGCCGCTCGTCACGACAAAGAGAATGCAGTGATCGAACGTAGGCGTCCTCGTCTGTTGAGTTACATTTACCAGGATGCTAAATTTTGCTAGATGATCCCTCACGACGAACCAAGGATTCGATTCCACTGATCGACAAGGACACACAAATAGGTGCGGTTCAGACCTAGCTTGTAATCATCCCGATTAAATTAATTTCGATGCCTCCCATCAGCCTCCCTCCTCGCAGCACCACGCATGCAACTGGTATATGATCTGCGATACCCACCCAGCTCTCTCTATCTTCCACCATCATCTCCATATGCAAGATGGGGATTTGAGTTCCTTCGAGTGCCACTCACGCCATTACGGCCCAAACAAATACAGCTAATCAGTCGAGACTTTCCCTGGGCATTCAACATCTATCCCGAGCCCAGTGCAGCAGAACAGGGTGTGACGTGTCTTGATGTTCTCACTGCGCTACACGCTGAACTGCAACGCCCACTCTCAGATACGGAGTGGGGAGCTGCTACAGAGGATAAACACTTGAGCCTCGTCGGAGCGCGCGATCGTCGGCTAAACATGAAACCTGCTTTGCGCGGGAGCCCCGGCACTGGGGCATGCACTACTGCTAGGCATAGAATGCCATTTTCATCCGATGCAGGTGTGAAACCTGCGCAACGAGAGCCCTTGATACTCCGTATAGACTGGCTTGGGTCTCGTGTTGCGTTTGGGGGCCTCGTCAAGGACGAGGCTTTTGCGAGGAGGAGACTCATTCCGGGTGCGAGAGAGTCACCTGAGACGTGGGTTGTGAGGTTCAATAACCTACCATAATAATAATATCTTGACGAAATGTACCTACCTTTTATGTATTGGTTATCGAGATTTCGAGACATACTTCATATGGCAAGGTTTTCAATAACAACCGGATTTGGTACTCAATCAAACTTTGGCGTTTCGCTCACGTGCAGCTTTAACTTGAGCTTCAAAGTAAGTTCGCACTGCTTGCGCACTGCAACTTGAAGTCAAGAAGAGCTTCGTAAGGGCCCGCGTACATCGACGACGTCTGTGGGATTATCATGTCACAGGTACAGATTACTAGCTCAGGTAAGTAGGTCTGTCTAACCTTTCTTGCAAGATAATTAACAGTATTGGAAATCAAATACCAGCCACTACTTCGAACGCCGCACCCCAGTGCATAGTGCTATAGCAGTACAACTTGGGCCTAGACTTCTTCCTTTAGTTCGCTTTTTTTTCTTATGCTGAACTAGTTCATGATATTGGGAGTAGAGCCCCATCGGAGAAACTTTGACGAAAACTGGGAGAAGAGGATAGATGGCTATGAGATCGAAGATGTGCACTGTGCAGCACATGGAATATCAGACACGTACGTGATGAAAAGCTTTTTTCATATCTACGCAGATGAAGATTTTCCGTCGAGATTGTGACGGATTAGACGTGGTGATGGCGCTGCGCACTGCGCACGCAACACGGCAGAGATATTACGGCGGTCAATTGCATGTTTCAGGATTCAGATGGGCATCTGTAAATGGTAGAACATTCCATTACCAAGAGTGGAAATGTTGACGTTCTAGTTTCCACACCCTGCCTCACCACGCCATTCGCTGGGACATCAAGCGCTCCGTGTCGTCATTCGCCAATTCCCGGTTTCCACTCAACTTGCATTTACTAGCGGAACAACTAATTGACGTATGTGCAGAGCAAAAGACAAATATTTCAACAAGCACATATTCGGACTTCCGAAGCTTGCGCGTGAAGGACCTTGGAGGAGTGTGGTCCGAAAATTTAAGTGACTGCGACGATGCGGCATTCGGTCATCTGCCCTATCCACGCAAATACGACAGATCCTTAATGCGACTTTTAGGAGCGTGCAGCTCAAAAAAATCCTGGCGCATACATGATGCCGGCTATTGACTACTTCCGTTTTCCAGGATCCCTTGGGCTATGGTGGTTCTTTTGGCGCCCGCCAAGAAGGCGACATTCTGATGAGCCATTTCCCGCAGTTTTGCTGTGTCGCACAGCCAGTCCAGAAGTGTCTCTAATCATCTTCTCAAAACTCCATTGCACTTGACCGAGGGTGTGAAGAACGTCAGAACAAGACCTAACAATAGGTATATTGTATGCCTATCAAAATATCGCCTAGGTCTAATTCGGGCAAGTTTTCGTGTCATTTATGTTGCCAGTACTGACGTATGTCGTAAATATCAGTGCAATACAGCATTCAGATCAACTTGATCGCTCCCCAGTCTAATTGGACAATGCATGCGATTTCTACGCTCAAATGTCAAGACAGGCAATAGTCTACCATGTGATCTTGCATGCCGTACTGATTTGGAGCTCATGCCAAGCTCGGTTTTTCTTATCAAGTCATTCCCACATCCCAAATGGGTGCTCGTAACCGTACTTCTTCTCAAATAGCGCCGGTCAAAGTGTTGTACCAAATGTGTCTTTCGCCGAGTCATGAAGGTCATCCGAACGTATATAATTCTTCATCACCGCAATGCCTCGATACACTATCACCTTCTTCCCATGCTTTCCGCAGCTCGTCTCCCTCCACAGTACCAGTATGTTACCCTCGGTCCCACTATCTCTCCTCCAGTTTTGCACAATGCTCGCTACGAAGGATGGGTCGGCCCCCCAATACAACTTCCTCGTGTTGCCTCTATTATTGGAACCTCCTCGCGTCATCCCTATGAGGAGGCTACCACCAATAGCCGTAGGTACGATTCGAAATCTATTCGGACTCTGCTCATTTGTTACTAGAACATTATCCCCATGCAACTGGCGCCTACACAAATTCCGGGGCGCAAGGTGATTTCCTTTTCTATGGTTCGACTTTCAAGCTTACTTTTCTTTGTTAGCAACAGCTGATACAATTAGGCATTTTGACTCTCAGCGCCGCAACGTCTCTCATCCACGGACATGGAGTGGTAGGTTTTCTGTCATCATTTGCTCCGATCATTATACGATCTAATTTGGGTGATAAAGGTGGCGCTTATGCTCTGTCTCTCCGAGGCGCTTCTGAGATGCACGCCACGGCTCAACGTGATACAGAGAACGCACGGCTCATGTGTAAGCGCCCGCATTCGTTTTACTAACTTGCAGGATATTCAACTGTATGTTTTTCTAGATGGAGGCCATTTTACACGGCGGACGATGCCATCAAACCTTATCACCCAAAAGGGTACGACTTGAACGCACTTACGGTTGTAAATTTCTGATATCTGCCATTAGCCTTCCCCCATCCATTTCTTGCGTCACCATCCGGATCATTGATATACGACCTGCGCTATTCTCCCACCTCTCTCCGTTTTCCATTATCGTCTCCATTTGCGGGCTGCGGGTACGAATGCCTCCGTGTCCCACTTACGCCAGAGAGGCCCAAGCAAATACGACTAATCAGCCCATACTTTCCTTGGGCGTTTGACGTCGGCCCAAATGCCAGAGGAGAGGTTGTGACGTGTCTCGATGTTCTCTCTACTCTGCATGTTGCATTGCAACGCCCACTCACAGACACCGAGTGGGGCGCTGCTGAAGACGATAAGCATGCGAGTCTTATCAGAGCACGCAACCGTCGTCTATGGACAGAACTCGCGTTGCACGGGAGCCCGAATTCTGCGGCACGCACTAGACCTACATCGAGCTTTGAAAGGCCTGTGCGGCGGGAGCCGCTTCTACTCCGTGTTGACTGGCTTGGATCCAGCGTTGCATTCATGGGGCTTGTCAAGGATGAGGCTTTTGTGAGGACGAGACTCGTTCCGGGTGGTGTGGAGCACCCTGAGACGTGGGTGGTGTTGTTTCAACGATTATGATTTCGAAGGTCCAGAGAAAATATACAAACTTATCATTTTTTTTTTTCGAGATTTTATAAACGTTGCGAACTGCTTGCATTGAAATTAAGTGCAAGCCTTGCAAGGGCTCCTGATTATGGGAGTTCGTATGTATCATAGTATTGAGCGCTGGCTCATTGATATTAATCAACTGGTAGCTAAACACAGCCGTGCGAGTTTGATTCATCCCACATTCAGCATATTGACGTCCCAGATCCTCTCACGTACCAGTCCTCTTTTACTCTTGCCGTCTCCCGAAACTGGATCATCGTACTTCTAGGCATCTGACAGCTGGCAACCAGCAACCAGCATCAAACGTGGGGGTAAGTACAACCTCAAGTGATGCGTGACGCACCGTCATTCAGGTTACTCCTTCCCTCATCACTTGCTGGTGCATGGGTGCTCTACCGAACTTGAATATGGGCTGATTACGACCTCGCTGTCAGATCAGAATCAAAGCCTAGGCAGCAGTCGACCTATGATACCTGGAGAAGAGTTCGTCTCACGATTTGGATCATGGTTTAGGAAGCTGCGGGGTATTTCTTTTACTTCAACGTAAGAACTCAGGAGTACTGGTGCTCTGCCTTCCCGTCTTGGTCGGGCTGTAAACATGCTTTCCTAGGTTTCTATTTTCACTCTTTCTTCTGTTTTACGTACTAGGGTACCTGCTGACGGTCGACGATTCCCAAGTGAGAAAATCAGAGCCGAATCAATGGTATAGTACATAGTAGTACTTACCAATGAACGTCTCATAGATCCACGACCCACAGGCACCTCTGATCACACCATCCCCTCTCAAGCATCCAGCCTTGCACAATCGCTATACAGGGTGGCACCACAACTTCCTCGTATTCCTCCACCTCCGTCCGTCTACAAGAGAGCACGTTGCTTTTGCGATTGATGTGAGACTTGAAGTACGGTTTCGAAAAATACGACCTCTAGCTTTGGTGTCGGTTTGCAGGCAAGATCATCGCGACGTCAGCCTACGACGTGTATATATGCATATTGCATTAGAGAAAAGTCCGGGGCCACCGCATGTGATCGATTGATCGATCACTTAAGAGCCTCGGACCATTAAAGTATCGGATCTCTGCAAAGTCTCGGGCCGTTGATGCGAGTCGCTGAGCCAACGCCGACACGGGAGTAAGTACGACGGGCATCAGAGAGTCGTGTCGTTTTCAGGAGATGTTTTATCGACTCTCATTGTACAACAGCGCAGACGCCGACTTGAGGTATACACTGTCTTCCTTACTAGTAAATACACTGTGGCCGGGTAGACCAGGTTACTAACCAATTAATATCCGATGACAATTGTTAGAAGCAAGTACGTACCCAAATACTGGTTCGAGGTGCAGCATGCCGGAGTAAATGGCTTCATAGAATGATTCATATTCCTCGGTGATACTGACGTAACCCGGATCGGACAAATTGAGGCTGTAAGATGGACAAACATCACGTTACACCTCATAAGGCTGTAACCACATTTCGCGTGCCAGGTATATCATCACGTTCCGAGTGCCGAGTGATACACGTGGTACCGACGTGGTACCGAGATAGCGGTAGAATCAGATCTATTTTTGTCCTTCTCAGGAATAGTTAATTAGGATTATTATGTGGTGCCCATGCATCGGTTTGGCATGGAGATTCTCTCAATCACCTCTCATCGTGAAAACTATATAACGACCAAAGCCTCAAGCCTCGATGGATTATTGTCCTCTCCTTCACCATGTTTTCTACAGCTCCTCCTCTACACTCCCAATGGGCTGCCTGTAATCCCACTGTCTTGCCTCCAACTTTTCACAATGCTCGCTACGCAGGGTGGCCCCACCCCCCAATGCAGCTTCCCCATATCACATCACCTCTGTTAACTGAACAGCATGATATTGATGTGGCAAATAATTTTCCCTCGCATTATACCCAGGTGAACGCTTCCCATAGTACCCGTGAGCTGTGATTATTTTCTACGGCTCTCGACCCTCTGCTTAGCTTTTGTTAGAATCTTCGAGTTATCCTATCCATCCCCAGTATGAACCTCCCTCCCCCATAAATTTGGGGGTACAAGGTACTCACCCTTTCCTTAGTCACACCTTGAATTCAAGCTTAATTTGTTCGACTAGCATCTGCGAATATGACGGGTTCCGTCGATCGCAATTCATGGCCATGGAATGGTGGGTTCTTTGTCGCCCGCGTCTGATCGCCATATGACCCTGACTCGTCTGATAGACGCTCGCACTCCATTCGTCGATATGCCCACAATGACTCGACATGATATAGAGGACATGCAGCTCATATGTACGCATCTTGGTTCTACTAACTTGCAAGGCGTTTATATATCTCTGCTAGATGACCACTCTGTGCCACGAACAATGTCATCAAACGTCAACGAAACACAAAATGGTATGTCTCAGACACAACTTATGATCCCCGTCGTTCCTCATACCTCTTATGCAGCCCATCCCCATCCACTTCTCTCGATGTCATCCATGCCATTCACATACGACCTGCGCTTCCCGCCTATCTCTCTCGTTTTTCCATCGTCGTCTCCATATGCAGGCTGCGGGTACGAGCTACTCTTCGTCCCACTCACCCCACAACGGCCTAGACAGATACGCCTCATCAGCCCAGACTTTCCTTGGGCATTCGACGTCAATCCTGACCCCAGTGCCGGAGCAGAGGGCGTGACATGTCTTGACGTTCTCGCTACCCTGCATGCCGCATTGCAGCGCCCACTCACGGACACAGAGTGGGCCACCGCTGAACGCGATAGACGTGCGAGTATTATCAGAGCGCGTGATCATCGTCCGATGATACAGCCTGCATTGCAGGGAAGCTCGAATTCTGCAGCACGTACTAGGCTAACGGTGAGGTCTGCATTCGACGCATCAGCGTCAAACAACAGGCCCGCGCAGCGAGAGAGGTTACTGCTCCGTGTTGATTGGCTCGGGTCTCGTGTTGCGTTTGCGGGGCTTATCAAGGATGAAGCATTTGCAAGGAGCAGACTCATTCCGGGTAGTGAGGAGCCACCTGAGACTTGGGTGGTGAAGTTTCAGAGGTTATGATTTCGAGCGTTTTGAAAAAGTGTACAAACATCTTTACTAGCTATTTGTATCGATATTTTATGAAGTTGTCGTCAACTTTCGTGTCATGTGTTGCCTTGTCAGCGTTGAGTAGGCTTTGTCGAGAGGCATGTGGAGACACCAGGGATCGATCGGCGGTGCCGACGTTGACCTTGCTTGTTCAACCAAATATTTATTCGCTGCTGATTGGTTGCGCACGCTTCTCAGGTTTATGACAAAGTGGCATGATTTCGTCGTATCCCCCGAAATGGCCTAGATTGAAGCGGTGACGGTCGAAGCAAAAGACTTTTGGGGAGGACATGTGCATGCGCGTTTGAGAGGGCAGCTTACATAGTAAAAATCGTCATCCTGAATTCACATCATGCGTAGATATTACGATTTGCGATGATACCATTGGCTGAGTTTGGGGCAACTTTTGAAGCACCTTTCAGAACTGGGTCCAACCTGCAGGGACATGAGAAAACGCACGAATATGTGGTGCCTGTTGACATGGTTTTTCCTTTTCTAATAATAATTTGAACAATAGATGTCGGATCTCCGTACTGCCTTGCAGATGGAAACTTAGCCTGTTGATGATCTCAAAATCGCCGCCGTGGTAGCTTTGGTAAACCTAGTAGGTTAGCCTCAACCCTGACCGTTTGAACCAACATTACCTTCATGAGTATTTACCGCACATCCGACATCGAGTCGGATGTTTGGGCCAGCCTACAGCATGTGTTTTGACATCCAATACTCAAGGGAACGTGTCTTGTGCATGAAAACCGAAAACGTAGGAGCCTTGCAGTTGGATGATGACTCTTGAGTGTCTTTGAAGGCTCCGAGTTGGCAAAGTAAATGAACACCGGTCGACCGGTCAGCGGACTGGGTCTGGACTCTACATCATGATCAATGCTGACGTGCATGAGTGAATGACATCATTGGGATAGTGGCGACGGTGGACAGCATAGTACACAGTATCTGAATATAGAGTAGTGCCATATGGACGCCAAGACATGAATCAATAACGCATGGAGTACCGAGATAGCGGTAGATTCTAAATCTATATTCGCAAACCTTATTGTGAACCGTGTGTGGTACAGTACCGTTGACACTTGTTCATCCCTGCAGATGGGATTGAAGCAGTTGCCGTGGTCCATGGGAAGCCGTCGGAGAACTATTTGGGGTGGGTATCCGGTAATAAAGGATCAAATATCTTCTGTGAGGTGTCCACAATGCTCAAAGCATTTGACACGTGGATAGAGCCTAGGGTAACTACTTACATTGAATGTCACACCATGTGAGGAACATCATAGATATTGATTTGTGATCTTGCGAGTATCTCGGACTCCATCTCAGAGTATCAATACCGGTCTGCAATAATTTGTGTGATGAAATTTGAAAAATATATGTCTTACCGTAGAAAATGTAAGCTAGCTCGAGGACTAATTGTGTTCCCATTTGATCCTTTCGGTTCCGCAGATGAAGTCGAAACTAATAGGAGACCGTGGTTTGTGGTCTCGTCCTTGTAATCATTTGCTGACATCATTTTTTGATGCACTGGGGCGAGTTACCAACGCTGGCTAGTCAATCAGAGTCACTTCGAAGCAAATGTCTCTTTTTTGGGAGGGCATCTACGTTGAAGCGGGCGACCCTTGGTGTGTAAACATAAGTCTTGACGTCGCCATTAGCCTAGTAGTCATATTTACCACATATCTTGATTCGGGTGCTTGGGCTGGCTGAGAACATGTTTTTCGATGCCCAATACTCAAGGAATGTATACCGCTTTCTTGTGCATGAAAATTGGAAGCATAGGAACTTTGCAGCAGGGTGTCGAATGTTTTGGACAACTTGTTTCAGAGCGTATAAGTCTATTAATACCAGTCACGTGGATGAAATGTGAGAAATACGAAAATGCATCCTTCCATCCGACTCTAGCAGGAACAACCCACATTATTGGGAGTATAGGCCCATCGGAGGAAGTTGAAAACTGGGAGAGGAGGAGGGACGGCTATGACAAAAATGTGCAGTACATGGCATATCAGAACACGTACGTGATGAAAAGGTTCAAGTTGTCTCACGTCTTTGTAGATCAAAATGTCCTGTTGAGATCGTGGATGAAGATATGGGCACAGCGCACGTGGAAGTAGTACTGCGGCTAGTTGCATGTTTCATTGAAGATCCGGATGTTCCTGAAAATAGTAGGAGAAGATTTCAAAATATATGGAAGAGTTCCTACTTCACCCTGCCTCACGAGTGCTACTTCCAGTTAATTGGGCGTCGTGGGATGCGCGCTCAGGGTAATTTCCAATTTTGCTGCTTGACTAACCTTGCCTCCTCGGGATCCAGGATTGAGGTGTTATGCTATGAGAACTTACTACATAGGGCCTGCCGCTTTCGCTCGGCACCTTGATTTTCTAGCTCCTACAGAGCAAAGAGTCTTGAATATTCCAGAAGCGCATACTTGGACCTCCAAAACTTGCATGACATGCAGGGCCTGGAGGTGTGTTGTCCGAGAGTTCAGGCAACTTATGCTGACGCGGCATGTATTCAGCGATTCACAGTATCTACGCAGATGTTGCTGATACAGAAGCCGCGGGCTGCAACCCAGTCTGAAGTTTGCGGACGTGGTTTATGATGCCGGCAGTTAGCTATTAGCTCCACTCTGGCAGTTTCGGACCCCCATGCTGGTTCTTCAATTTTAGATCACGCTTGATTTTACACTGCTTTCATCGACCCCATCCATCGTGGAAAGCCTACTCTTTTGGGTGAGCCATCTACCACGTTCTTCTGTGTCACATAGTTTGGAAGAATGTCTAGTCATTTTATTCAACCTTGATTGGCCCTTGGCTGAGGAAGTACTAAAGCCAGAACCAAAGCAACGGCAGATACAGATCTTGCAGTACAGTCGATAACATGTAATCAGGTGTGCCATAATTGGAACTCGCTGTTAAGGTCCGTCCTTTTTATTTCTCATCATTTGGGTTTGGGACGCGGTCTCGGTTGTCATGTTTACCGTGGTTTGCTCAGGCTCAATATCCTTCCTCTGTCGGGCGTATATAATCCTTTCCTCCCGACACATCCCAAGTAACCACAAACCATCACCTTCACCCCATGTTTCTAACAACTCATCCCCTTTCGCAGTATCATCATATTACCCGCCAGCCCACCATCTCGCATCCAGCCGCGATCTTGCACAATGCTCGGTACGAAGGATGGGTCGGCCCCCCAATACAACTTCCTCGTGTTGCTTCTACTGTTGATACCTCCTCGCGTCATCCCTATGAGGCCACCACTAACAGCCGTAGGTACAATTTTAAACCTATTCTGGCTCTATGCTCATCTGTTACTAGAACGCCGTACCCATGCAACTCACGCCTGCACAAATTCCGGGTCGCAAGGTGATTTCCCTTTTCTATGGTCTTACTTTGATCTTGATTTGCTTTGTTAGCAACCGCTGGTACAATGGGTCATTTTGACTCTCAGCGCCTCAATGTCTCCCATTCACGGACATGGAGTGGTGGGTTTTCTGTCATTATTTGCTCAGATCACTATATGATCTAATTTGGGTGATAAAGATGATGCTCTTACTCCGTCTCTCCATGGCACTTCAGATACGCGTGCCACAGCTCAATGTGATACAGAGAACGCATGGCTCATGTGTACGTTTCTACCCTCATTTTACTGACTTGCAAGATATTCAAGTGTATATTTTCCTAGATGGCGGCCGTTTTACACGACAGACGATGCCATCAAACCTTATCACCCAAAAGGGTACGACTTGAACGCACTTACGGTTGTAAATTTCTGATATCTGCCATTAGCCTTCCCCCATCCATTTCTTGCGCCACCATCCGGATCATTGATATACGACCTGCGCTATTTGCCCACCTCTCTCCGTTTTCCATTATCATCTCCATTTGCGGGCTATGCCGGGTATGAATTCCTCTGCATCCCATTTACGCCAGAGATGCCTAAGCAAATACGGCTTATCAGCCCATGCTTTCCCTGGGCGTTTGACATCGGCCCAAGTGCTGGAGGAGAGGTCGTAACATGTCTCGATGTTCTTTCTACTCTACATGCCGCATTGCAGCATCCACTCACAGACACCGAGTGGGGCGCTGCTGGAGACAACAAACGTGCAAGTCTTATCAGAGCACGTGACCGTCGTCTATGGGTACAACCTGCGTTGCACGGGATCTTGAATTCTGCGACATGCACTATACCCACAGTGAGCTTTGAGAGGCCTGTGCAGCGGGAGCCGCTGTTGTTGCGTGTCGACTGGCTTGGTTCCAGTGTTGCATTCATGGGGCTCGTCAAGGATGAAGCTTTTGCGAGGAAGAGACTTGTTCCTGGTGGCGGGGAGTGCCCTGAGACGTGGGTGGTGAAGTTCCAAAAATTATGACTCTGGAAGGTCAAGAGACAATATTTGTACAAACATCTCATGTATTATGGCTCCCATTCACGCATACAAAGTGGGGCATTGTTGGAGACGATAAATGTGCGAGTCTTATCAGAGCGTGTGATCGCCTAAGGATACAACCTGCATTGAAGGGAAGCTCGAATTTTGCGACACGAACTAGACAGATATCTATTTATGCGGTGAATTTTTCACCTAGCACTGATATGCCACATCATAGGCCTATGCAGCGAGAGTCGCCGCTACTCCATTTTGATCTCATGTTGTATTTCTGGGCTTGTCAAGGATGGTGTATTTGGGAGGGGTAGCCTTATTCCGGGCAGTAGACAACCACCTGAAACATGGGTAGTAAAGTTCTGGAGATTATCTCGGATGACAAATACACACCTTTTGTATCGAGATCTCGGGATAATCTTGTCACATAGATGATTTCAACTCCGCACTCAGCGTTCGATAATTGGCTGGCCTCAAGCCTCGAATAAGAAAAGCTTACTTTCCAAGTTTCTCAATTCATCCTCGCAAATTGATCAATGCCGTGGGATAGCTTACTAGAGGTGGAGTCAGCGGCGGAGGTAGCATAGTGCTAGCTTGTCTAGAAAAAGATTAAGCTGGTGTCAAATTCAGGGTGTTCTGCCGACAGCTGGTATAGATTACAGGTGATCAACGGGCAGTGAAGCAGAATGGAAAACCAACTTTGACTCAAACATTCGTTCAAGTTGCATCTAGCTTAGCCTCGGCAACTGCTTCGAGTGTGGGGGGATTGTAGAGTTATTACATAATAGAAGCTTGAGCTTGATCGAACAGTAAAAGGTTTCCTGGACCAACCAATTGAAATGGAGCCCAGCCGATGTCCGATTCCCATGAATTCATTGCCCCTGTCTAGTGGGTTTTATCAGTAGTGGGCTATTTGTACCTTGGGCGTTTAAATTTCATTCTAAAACCATATATATAACGAGCCCAAAAACTCCCCGAATGCCTCAGCCGTCAAAAGTCTCGATATCCCTTTGTTATATCCCTCATGTTTTCAGCTCGTCCCCATCGCCACTCCCAGTGGGTTACCTGTAATCCCACTGTCTTGCCTCCAGCTTTTCACAATGCTCGCTACGCAGGGTGGCCCCACCCTCCAGTGCAGCTTCCCGATGTTACTTCGTCTCTGTCGACTGAACGTGATGTTGCTTTGGCGAGCGATTCCCCTTTGCGTCGTCCACGCGCTAATGCTGCCCATACCCGTGAGCTGTGATTATTTTCTACGGCTCTTGACCCTCTGCTCAGCTGTTGTTAGAGCCTTCAAGTTATACTATTCATCCCCAGTATGAACCTCCCTCCCTCATGAATTTGGGGGTACAAGGTACTCACCCTTTCCCTAGTCACACCTTGAATTCAAGCTCAATTTGTTCGACTAGCATCCGTAAATACGATGAGTCTTGTCGACCGCAACATTCCAAATTCGCGGCCATGGAACGGTGGGTTCTTTGTCGCTGCGTCTGATCCCCATATGACCTTGACTCGTCTGATATAAAGGTGGCGCTCGCGCTCCATTTGCTGATATGCCCACCACGACTCGATACCAGACAGGGAACATGCAGCTCATATGTACGCATCTTGGTTCTACTAACTTGCAAGGTTTAAATATCTCTGCTAGATGACCATTCTGCGCCACGAACAATGTCATCGAATGTTAACGAAACCCAAAATGGTATGTCTCAGACACAACTCATGATCCCGATCGTTCCTCATACCTCTTATACAGCCCATCCCCATCCACTTCTCTCGATGTCATCCATGCCAGTAACATACGATCTGCGCTTCCCGCCTATGTCTCTTGCTTTTCCATTGTCGTCTCCATATGCAGGCTGCGGGTACGAGCTACTCTTCGTCCCACTCACCCCACAACGGCCTAGACAAATACGGCTCATCAGCCCAGACTTTCCCTGGGCATTTGACATAAATCCTGATTTCAGTACTGGAGAAGAGTGCGTGACGTGTCTTGACGTTCTCACTACCCTGTATGCTACATTGCAGCGCCCACTCACGGATACAGAGTGGGCCACCGCTGGACGTGATAGACGTGCGAGTCTTATCAGAGCACGTGATCGTCGTCCGATGATACAACATGCATTGCAGGGGAGTTCGAATTCTGCAGCACGTACCAGGCCAACGGTGAGATCTGCACCCCACGCATTAGCGCCAAATGATAGGCTCGTGCAGCGAGAGAGGTTACTGCTCCGTGTTGATTGGCTCGGGTCTCGTGTTGCATTTGCGGGGCTTATCAAGGATGAAGCATTTGCAAGGAGCAGACTCATTCCGGGTAGTGAGGAACCACCTGAGACTTGGGTGGTGAAGTTTCAGAAGTTATGATTTCGAATGTCCGTGTAAAGTGTACAAACATTTACTAGCTATATGTATCGATATTTTATGAAGTTGTCCGAGTCGTCAACTTCACGTCATGTGTTGCCTTGTCAGCGTTTTCCGAGAGGCATGTCGATGCTGTCCTACGTACATTAACTCGTGTAGCAGGTTCAAGAATCTGCTGTCAATGGCAAAAGAACACGAAATGCTTCTGCGCAAGATTCATGCATTGAGTTTGTCTCTTTCGCACGCACCCCTCCCCGGGCCGTCAACGTTTCAACATGAAGCAACTTCCTCTCATCTGTCGACTGCCAGTGAAATTTCAACAAGTATTTTTGCTCGTTGTTGACGACGTGCCATTTTCTCACTTGGAGATGCTACCATCTCAATCAATTTTGCCAGTCCCTTCCCCATTATTGAGCAGGGTGTACTGCCTTTGGCGAGTCCTTGCACATTCAACTTGAATGCCAGGGGTCCGGTAGCCCATCCATGTTGTGTTCCCCGAACGAGTTCTTCCGCATATCTCCAAATACTTGCTTGCTCGTTCTGGTAAGTCATCCCTCATGCTTCGCATTGCTCATCTCATTGTCATATCTTACCTGTCTGCAAGGGACGTTCAGCCGACTTCATTTTTCATGTCGCCGCAAATTGGCTTTGGTAGGGCTACCAAACAAGCTGGAAGCCGATTGCGTTGAGAGTTGCATCTTTCCATGTGCCAGTGGTAGCCTTTCAGACGGATGCACCGCTTAGCAGAGTTGATGCCAATCATACTGAGCCAGTTTCCCTCAGTCACGGAGGAGGTTACTGTTTGTGGGTAAGTGTTTTTGCCTTCTCGTTTGATGTACTTTTCATACAAACCTCGCTTTGTCCAGCAACTTCCTTCAGGCCGGTAACCCAGTGATATTTCTGAATCCGTGAATCTAAAGCTACACACCAATTGAAGGTGTTTGCCATGTATTTCGTTTCTTGAAGTTGTGTTATATTGAATAATTTGGTATCGATCCTTGGTGTGTACGATATGGCATTCAGCACGGCATAATCTGATGCCAGCTAGTCCAGCTTTGCTGAAAAAGAGCTTTGCAGAAAAAGAGCTTTGCAGCGAGTTGCGTTTTCACGATGGTCATAGAAACACAGAGTCACCGCTAAAACAGTCCTGTCTGTTTAACACGTTCATTCCATTCCATAATCTAATCCTACCGCAGGAGAATAAACCCTTCAAATCTCGCCGAGTTTCTCTCAAGGAGCTCGCAAAAGGTGCGCTTATGCATACACTGCTCATCAATCCTGATCCCATGGTTCCTGAGCACTCAGTTTGGCTTTGCAGGTATGCCTTCCGCCATAGCACGAATCACGGGTAGCAAATGCCGTCTCACGGGCCTGTCTCAACAGGTAGGAGTCAGTTTCGGCTTGCCAAGGCGCATCCATTGTCTCCACTCCCACATCTTCGACAGCTCTGATGCATCGTCACCGGTATCCCCTTTCGGAGAATATCAATACCTGAGAATGCATCCAAGCTCTGCATAATTCAGACAGAAATACTTAACATCAGCGAAAACATGTCCATGAAACTCGTCCTTTCATTCGCATCTCGACCATACGGCAATTCCGCCCATGCCCCAGAGAACCTTGACACGAAGCCCAGGCCCACACTTCGAGCCTGGCCAGCTCTGCCTGTTCGATTCGTGCCTGGAGAGGCCGAGCTCCGAATGGCTCATGCACACACTCAATCATGGGGATTATTGACTATGGAAGGTGAGGTATGAGTGTGTAGCCCAGTAGCGGATGGCTTAGTGTGTTGATAACAACTCTAGATCCTATCTGCATTCCCCCCTCTATGGCAGGTGTGGTGTCGTTGATGTGGAAGATGAGCGTATAGGTACCAGACGCGAAGACACGGCACTGTAGCTCGCCGAGCGTTCCTGATTCAAACGAAGAACACAGATATCAGGATGGGGAGGGACGCTTGCGATGCCATGCGATAAGAACCTTTCGAATTTGACGTTCGCACCTTTTCCGCATCCACAGGCGTGTTGGGACGACACGCAGCCTGCGGGGCCGTAACGCAACCTGCAAGGAAGTATCAGGCGTGACCGAGTAAAGGAGCAATGAACAACTTTGATAGAACCTTCGATTCCTTGTTCTGCTACTCGGCGAAGTACAGGAATCTTTCTTTGTGGTCGTGTTTCAGCAATTTGTCGGAGCTTTGGCAATCATGGCTGGTTTCATTGGGGATATTCCGACAGATATTGTTGCACTCGTGCCGGGCTTGCTTCGGCGATTACCACGACAAGAATGACGAGCCAATTCCAGGCCTCGAATTGCCCTCGTAACGTCTAGTATGTCAAGCACAGTGTACGCTAAACATGAGCAGGAGTCATTTGACATGTATGGATATTTCGATCAGCATGTTGCAATGAATAGATTCGAGTCCACCAGGTGGACACTCTGCGTGCAGAGCGATGGACGCTAATATGAATAGTGAAATTCATATTTGGGTGGGTAGTGCATTTCTTGCGATCGCTGCGAGAGGCATCGAGATGATTCATAAATTTGTAGCTTGAGGGGCAGCGAATTCCAAATCTCGATACCATCACCCTCATAACGTCTAATATGTTAATCACAGTCGTACACAAAATATAGGCAGGAAGAGGCGTATGAATATCTCGCTCGAAGCAGCATCTCCGTGAATTCCGAGTCTAGTAGCAGTGTGTGTAACATGAACTAAACATGCGCAAACAATGGTATGCTACTCACTTGACACTAGCTCTTATGTAGGAGCTCAGGAGTAGTGGTGAATGAACTTCGTTCCTCCGATACCGTGACTCCTGAGGCCTGAGCATCACTGTGCGGGCACTCGCACCCAACAACGCGGCAAGGTTTCCTGATGGCCTATTGCTTGATCAACCCACTTCAGACATCGATAATGTTCCAGCCAATCAATGATGGGCGCTCCGAACCACATGTTCGGCAGCTCCTGGGACCTGATCACCCCTACCATTCACCAATTTTCCTCTTACCAAGAAACCTCTTAAGATTCACACTCAACCGTCCTAACTCAACGAATCGAGACTCAAGATTCTCAGAAGAAGCATTGAGGGTTGCTGAAGTCCAAGTCGTTTAAACCCTCATTTGACAGGGAAGAGTGTCCGAAGGTCAGCCAGTGATGTATGGACTTTCTCCATTACAGCTACGCCGTTATTTCTAATCGTTATTATAGCCATTCTATCCCCCTTAGAGGAATGGATCTTGTAGAGGATTGTCCAAGTTTCTTCCCAAGTCATTTGACAAGTTCGCTCGAACTGCTCGACAATCTCCCAACCCTCAACCCACGGTCGCAGGTTTCAGTGTATGGAATCTCCTCCACCCTCACACAAGCCAAGTATACACCACATTATGTGTGTGACCTAACTTGTGACGGCCGCAGGATTTTTCACTATCAACTATCGCTCCCGAACCGAATCCTGACCAGTCCTTTGATGTGGATGTTGCAGCCACAAATTTGACTATTACAATTCGTAATGTCATCATCTCTCTTCCGATCATGTACCACATTCCCTCGTCAGTCTGAATAACCTGACCCAGACGGTCGTTGAAGGAAAAGATTGCAAATGCCAAAGCAGATTCTGGCAGGATCGGGCACAGTGTCTCAGGAATGGCGGAAAATGTTATCTCAGCCTCCAACAACTTGCAATCTGGATCTGACACGATTGACACATTATCCCCAATTCTTGCACCATTAAGAGTATTTGACTCTGTCGTTACGAGGCTTGCAGATGTACGGGCGTCTATCTTGATCTTGTACATGGCTGATCTGTGTCCTGTCTGCTCTCGAAAACCTTGGATCTTATACTTTATTAACGACACATGGGGGATTGGCTATGATAGCATCCATGCTAGAGATACATGGAAAGCTTGCACGACAGACGCTGGAGTGTACTGACTTCGTCGTCTATCACTCGGTTATGAAGAATTTTTGTGAGTCTTTTTCCACCGCAATGTCACTAATAATCAATGTCACTTTATAGGGCGAAGACTTGACAAACAAGTCTTCAATGAGACAGTCGCCGCGATCCAACGTCACAACGAGGTTCTCGATAACCTCATGCAACAGCTCTTACTACCATCGAAACTGTCTATCATATCGGTGCAATCAACTTCAAGTTTTCTTTGAACCTTCTCTGAAATTCGATGCCGACGATTCAGCTGAGGACCTGAACCTTGGCGGCATGGAATACGTGCCTGGTACTGGACGGGTTATCTCCTCACTTCCTGTCAGATAGTCGGAATACCCTGGATGCATCGCATGTCCGTCAAGCCTCCATGGATGATATTTCACCTGCGTTCACACACAGTGATATCCAGTTATACATTTCCACCAGGTTTGCAGGGCTCCGCAACTTTTTTCAACAATGCGCACTTCCAGGCGCTTGCCGAGAAATCTGACGGCCTGTTTGAATGGGCTCGTCTCGCCTGCAAGTACATCAAGAAGAATGAAAGTGGCTTAGGTCCGGTGGACTGGTTCGACGCTGTGGTTGCTGGAATGTCTGAAAAGGGAACGTATCTATTGAATATCAGATATGCATGCATCTTGGGAGAAACAATGCCGAAGGACGAGCACAGTGGAGCTATCCCGGTGTTTTGCTCAGTGATGGGACAAATCCTTGCCTCGCTGAAACCTCTTCCTATGCCTGCGTTGATGGCTATGCGACTGCATTCTCCTGATGAGCGCAGCCGTTACAATGTGGAAGATGTCATTAGGTCCCTAGGCTCGCTTGTCACGGGTATCGTGGATCCTCAGACTCCCATACGCCCCTCCATCCCCCTACGACTTCCTCACATACGAATTGTGGAGTCATAATTTCTTCGTTGATACATCAGCGGTACAAAGAGATCTTGCCTTTGCCTCGCTTGGGATCATGGGTCATGCCGAGTCCACGCATGTTAATGATGCTACCAGGGATACTCTGCGTTTCGTCCGAAGTTTCGCAACCTCTATTTTACTCAGCACTCCCCATTTATACTTGTATGCTCTGCTACCCGCTCCAACGCAGTCGATAATATTTTGGAAGTTCACCGCAAACTTTCCTTGTACTCCCAGAACCATGTCGAAAATTGCCTCTAGATGGAGAAGATACTCCCTGCGA